TCCAGCATTGTATCAGTATGTGTGAGTTTAAAATTGGAATCAGCATAAAAGGTCAAATCAAAACAAACATTTTTGTTTTTGTTCCATCTATTTCCTCCAAAAAAAATGGAAGTAACAGCTTCTCTTCCAGGAAACTCTTTTCATTTTAGACTCTGAGAAACACCCTGCTGTGATTCCCATCTCTCAGAAACAACTGCTCTCCTTGTGAGCGTGTTTGAGTCGGCAGAAGTAGATGTGACACTGGACTGAAGCAGGATAAAAGGCGTTTAGCAGTCTGTGTGAACAGTGACTGTGACAGCCGCGTGTGTCGATCTGCTGGATTCAGACTGAAAGCTGCGATTAGACAGAGCGAGTCCGTCCAGTCAGCTGGGACTGAAGGAAATCCTCCTTTATTGATCTGTCGCTCCTGCAGAGCCGTCCATCAGTCAGCCCGCTCTGCAGGGACACCAACACACGGATACTTCTAAACTTGTGAGGACCGTCGTCCAAATTATCCATTCACTGATAGTATATAACGCAGCAGAGTTCTTTAATCTGCATGATTAACGCTGACAGGAAGGAGAACCGTCTCTGAGAGACAAACAGAGTTGATTAGATGAATGAAAAGAGACTGAAATGTTTATAGCAGCTGAAGTGCTTTTTGAATTAATTGATTAGAAAAGGTACAGAAACGTATCGAGTTCTATTTCAGATATCTGATTTATTTTTAAGCTCCAAAACAAAAAACTATTCTAATACCAGCAAGAATGCTTCTACTTTTCTCATCTGAAATTCTGAGGCAGAGGCTATATGCGCATCCCCTATCGATATCAATTGGTATTTCCCTCAATCCCACGATACGATACATATCGTGACAGACATTGATTTTGGATAATGACCATGTCCTCCAACAGCTGTTCTTTATAGTTGAGAATAACGGCAGAGGCATATTAAGGATCCTACAACTTAAAACACTTCAATTCAGGTCCTCAGAGATCCTAGAAATCCATTAAAGTGTTTTAATCCCAGAGCTATGGCGTTATTGTGAACGGCACCATACTTCGAATGTATTTCAAAACTGTCATCCCAGCTTTGTAGCCATATCGATTCTGTAACATCTGCATCGATAACATGTGTTTGCAAGGAGCACATGGCGATATGGAATCTTTCAGCACAGCCCTAACGAACACACACACACACACACACACGCATGCACACGCACACAAACACCTTTAGACCTGAACAGCAGACATGATGATCAATATAATCAACTGAGTTTTTACCTCCATACACACATAAACACACCTAAAACTGCAAGCACCACATTTTGGCCTACATCAGAAAAGCAAAATAAATGTATCACACACACACACACACACACACACACACACACACACACACACACACACACACACACACACACACACACACACACACACACACACACACACACACACACACACACACACACACACACACACACACAGTGCCACTGACCTTTACACTAAAATTCAGCAGGACATCAACAAACAGGATGTGTCACTGACCTTTCACACATCCGACGCTAAAGAGCATACTGTACACACACACACACACACACACACACACACACACACACACACACACACAGTGCTCTTTCTTTTTCTCCCCGTCAGAATTCGGTTAAAAATATGACTAAACATCTGAAATATTTTTTAAAGCTTCTTTTCATTCTGATATATAGAAATAATTTGATTGTCTGTGTGTGTCATTTTCTCTAATAAGACTTTGCTTATATTGACCCAGCTGACCCAGAGGTCGAAGGTGAGATCCCAGCATTAATCAAGCACACAAACTGTTCTCGTCCTGTCGTTGTTGTGTTTGATCAACGTTGATGAAGTCAGTATTGATTTAGATTTGACAAATAATCAATGGTGAAAGAAAATGTCCTTCACAGTTTTTCCATGAAACCTCTTCAGATAACTCACTGAACACAACTTTGAACACAATTTAAACACATTTTATGCACTAAAAAATATAATACATAATGTACTGTATATACTTGTGTACTTCAACTAATTCCCTAAAAGGTTGCCCGTATTAGCGGAAAGGAGGTGTGGCTCCATTGCCATCTATTTTAGATGTTGAATCACTGTGATTGGTTCATAGAAATCCAACTTTGTGCATTTTTAAAGTCAAATTCATTCAAAACATCTCGTCAACAAAAATCGTTACACATCAGAAGTTATGTTAAAATAGCATTTCCAATACGTCGGCCGCCAACTGTGGGCCTCATTACACCTCTTCAGATGCAACTTAGACTAGGTCCATGTTTTGGACAGTCTATAGCCGTTTTCACATACGCACTCCGGATAATATCTAGATAATTACAGGATAGACCGATTAGATTCTCCCGACCTAGTCGTTCACATATGCTCCTCACTGCGGGGGACTTTCCCTGTCAAAGGGGAGGGGGGGGGATTTCCTGAGGTAAGACGTGACATCAAGAAACAACGCAGAAGTAGCGGCCGAAGCAACAGAGTCCGCTACACGATGCTATAATGAGAATATTTGCCTTTATATCAATGCTATGTGTAATCCAATGGAATGACAACATTCACAAGCGAGTGGAGAAAAACATACTGACGAACAGAAAACATAATGCAGACGTTTAATTACGTGCACGGAGATCGTAGTGATCGTGTGGAGGCACTTTATGCACCGTGCGGCAGTCAATGTCACTGGGGTCCCATTGGCTCGAGTTGAACTCTCCGGAGTATATGCTGCTGCGTTCAGACATCAGCTCACTCGGACTTTCTGCAGAAAAAATACTTGGGGTCTAGCTGGATAAACTCCGGGTGAAGTCTGCATGAAAAAATCTGGCTGTTTGCCTTCAGCAATAGCCTAAATCACCTCCAGGTAGACTAATCTCCGAGTTTTCCCGTATGTGTGAAAAGGGTTTATGGTTAAAACTGATTTTAATGTGCAACAGGAATGTAAATAGATTAAGAAGCATTAACCAGCAGCATTGGAGAGCATCTGTCAGGGCATTACATTACATTGAGTTTTTAAGCTTTATTGATAAGATAAGATAAAGATAAGATAAGATATACTTTATGCCCTTGAGCAAGGCACCTAACCCCCCCACCAGCTCAGGAGCGCCCACTGTGGGAAGCCCCCTCACTCTGAAACCTCTCCATTAGTGCATGTCCATAGGATCCTGTTTGTGCATGTGCATGTGTGTGTATTTCAGCCTATGTTTATGTAGCATGTTAACTAGACAGAGTGTAAAAACTAATTTCCCCTCGCGGGATCAATAAAGTATACATTATTATTATTATTATTATTATTATTATTATTATTCATCCCAGCAGGGAAATGTAGGTGTTCCAGCAGCCAGCATACATACAAACACACAACACATATATACAACATATCCCACCCATACAAAAAAAAACATGAGCCCACAATACATAGCCAGGATAAAAAAGTGGTATGGATGGTCCATGTGCACAAGTAGATGTTACTCATAGATAACAGTACAAAATACTAGCTCTGCCAGTGCGATAGACAAATAAAGAATTATTATAAAGAATCAGTCAAGTGTGCAAAATACAGTTTGATATATGCAGCTCAGGCTGAAGTTTAAAAGTTTAAATGTCTTCTGTCCTCACTTAAAGGGGAGTCGTTATAAAGTGCAATTGCAGTAGGCAAAAAAGTATTTTTAAATCTGTCCTTTTTGCTTCTTAGCTGTCGTAGCCTCCCACTAAAAACACTCTTTTTGTTCACACATGAGATTGTGTAAGGGATGCACGTTATTGTCCATAATGTTCAACAGTTTCTGTATCGTTCTTCTCCCCATCACCACCTCCAGGGGCTCCACAGCACAGAGCCAGCCCTCCTAAGCAGCTTGTTAAGCTTTTCAGAGTCACAAGCCCCTGACGCTGCTGCCCCAACAGACGGCTGCAAAGAAAACGGCACTTGCCACAACGGCCTGATAAAACATGGATAACATTTTGCTACACACATTAAAAGCTTCCTCAAGAAGTCGAGTCTGCTCTGACCCTTCTTGTAGACGGCCTCTGTGTGGTGCTTCCAGTCCAGTTTATTGATAGTTTTTCAAATTTGATATTTTTGCTGTATCACTTTTGGGGCACAAGATATTAACTTGTGCGAATAAGATGCAACACATACGAAATGTTGTACCTTTTGGGACTTCAGGGGCTCCGTACCATTCAGCAAAAAAAAAAAAAAGTAGAGATATGAATTTTGTTCCATTTGTTCCAAACAAAGTGTAATATTGAAGTGTGTCAGAAGGATCAAGACAAAGTTGTGAGCATGCACTTCCTTATTTTTTTAGCATCTTATTTTGTAAAGAGATACATTTTTATTTGTGTTATTTTGGTGTCAAACAAGAAAAGCACATTTTATAAACCTTGGAGCTACTAAGAGGACATTACCTGGTTATAGATAACCTGTCAGAAAGGTCATAGAGGTATTAAACTCTTGTTCACAGTGATGTAGTAACAGCATGTGTGCATGATAACTCACACACTTGTTACATCTTCAATGATTTGAACATCCCTATCCCTAAGGGGTCATATGTCATGTAACTGTATATGGTTTAACCAATAAAAACACTCAAATTTGGGACGTTTTGGAGGGAAATAAAGCGCTGTGTGACCCGACATGCTGCCGGTTAGTGTTTCAAACTCAGTCGCTAATTCCTCACATGGTCGCTCATTCATAAAAACACAATATAAGGTTAGAAACATTCACTGAGATGAGCTAAGCTAACTCACCTTCTGTCACACTCCAGCGTTGAGTTGTGTTTAGTCGACGGAGACGTGCCTGTGACTTTAATAAATATATATTCTCATTTAAGATTCTTACACATTTTTGTGATTAAAAAAAAAAGCATGAGTACGGATAAATCATTATGTCACTTTAGATAAATCACCGCGAAAAGACAAAAAAATACAAGAATAATTTCTTATTTCTGATCAGGCGCTGTTTAGTCACACGTTATTTAGGGTCCTGAGAGTTATCCAGTCGTTGTTAGCGACATCATGGCGGCGTCCACACGAGCGCAGGTGATTTCTCTCTACCGAATGATGCTGACAGAGAGCAATAAGTTCCCCTCGTATAACTACAGGTAAGAGATGATGTCGGACTCGTGTGAATTTCCCTTCTGGATAGTTTAAATTGATTGTCAGCGGCGGGAAAGAGGTTAATGTGGCTGCTGAAGGTTGTGTTTACATCAGCTACCGTGTCAGATGGTGTCATCGTCACTGTTACTCAACGATTACAAGGCAAAGCTAGCGTCCCTGGACAGAGGTTTCTTTAAGCTGCTTATATCGGATGTTCACTTTTGAATTATTTTGGTTATATTAAAATGTTGTATTTTGTTTATTCAGGTTCTTGCTGAGTGTTTGTTACATAATCTTTTACTGCATTACAATTTTACTACAAGGGCCACATTTATGAAAGGTAAACTACGAATTCTAGAATAAAGTCATAATTACAAGTTTTAAGTTGCAATATTGCCATAATAAATTACAAAGAGGAAACAGTCTTTATTAATAAAACTTTTTTATATAGCACCTTTAAAAACTGATGTTTACAAAGCAAAGGCATGAACTCAGGACAATAACAGAATAAACATCAACAGTCAGGTCAAACAGAGAGTAGTCTACAAAAAAAATAAAAGGAATAACAAAAATATAACAGGAAGGTCTCAAAAGGCTGTTAAAGATACAAAATAATACAATTAAATGAGATAAATAAAAAGCATTCAAAACGATGAGAACAATATATAACAAGAAGAATAGACTGTATTTATTGTCTTTATACAATTGTACAACGAAATTATTTGGCTTCACCTTAAAGTGCACACACATAAAGCATCCACAGCTAAATACAACAAAAGAAGAAAATTTAAGGTTCTCATTCAGGTAAGATGGGAAATGTATGGTAGGAGTTATTTACAGGTAGTAGCATAACAGAATATAAATAGATATTGCAGAAATATAAAATAAAGTATGAAATGTAAAATATTACAGAAATAAATAAATATTGCACAGATCGAAATGTAAATATTGCAGAAATATAAATAAATATTGCAGTCTGAAATGTAAATGTTGCAGTAAATGTAAATGTGTTCTTCTCTAAGAAGAAAGCATATCAATACATCCCAGATAATAAAAACAAAATGTTGATAAAACGGAAGGATAAAAGATGAAGAGTATATACGAAAGAGATGTCAGAAGAGTAAAACATTGGAAAAGGAATAGGAGTGGATAAAACTTAATGAATAAATGAAAAGTTGAATTTAAAAAACATTTAAAATGACCACATCATTTAAAAGCAAGTCTATAAATGTGAGTTTTAAGAAGTGATTTAAGAGATGTCACTGATGTCACTTTTAAAAGGAAAGCCGTCATAATACTACTTTACTATCGCTATTGTGATTTTATTCTCGTAAAGTCGTTAGATAAAAAAGTCTAAATATTAGAACGATGATTTCATATTCTGAGAAAAACTGTAATGTAGCTCGTAGTTGACCCCTGATACTCTGTAATGTTTTGCGTGTTTTGAACACTTTAATGCGTCTGCCACAGTGTTTGTTTGCCAAAGTCTTCTTTCTCTCTTTAATTTATGATTTAAGCGTGATCTTTTATGTTAATAGCATTTAAGCTATAAGCAGCAGGGGTGAGCGAGTGAGTCATTAAATATGTGTGTGTGTGTGTGTGTAGTGTAGTGTGTCAGAGGTCCCAGTTGCTTAGTCAGTTCATAAAAATAGAGCCAGAGTCTTTGGTCTTGTTTGGACCTGATCCCTGACCTGATTACTGTGCAGGCCTGCTGCTCCTCTTGTCCAATCAGCACTCAGTTTGTTCTGTCACCATGAAGCACTTTTTAAACTCTGGAAACAAATCCAGCATGCTGCTGCTCAAGCTGATTGTGAGGTCAGGCTATTATTGGATTCATATTGGATTTAGGAAGGATTTTAAGGAAGTTTTGCCTGTTCATGAACCTTTTTTGAAAATGATAGCTCTTCGTTTGTTTTTCCAGAGCCCAAATGTATCCAGTTTAGTGTTAAAAAAAAAAAAACATTCATTTAAGGATAAAATTTGACTTGATTTTTCTTTAAAATGCACTCTAAAACTGAACTATTGAAACAGTTGGTGAAAAATCTAATAGCTAAACTTATCTAATAGTTTGGGCTTTCACACTAGCAGAAATCTCCTGAAAAACTTCCCAGGAGGAGCTGTATATGTGAACGCAAACAGCCAAATACTATTGTTTCCGCAGCAAGTCCGAGTGAGATGATGTTAGAACGCAGCAGGAGTCGGAGTTTAGTTTTATCACTATAAATATTTTATAGTGAGTAGTGCCCATGAAGGTGCGTACATTCAGCGCAGAAGTATAAACCAGGCTATAGACTCAGTAAACATTTAAAAAAAAAAAAAAGCCCATATCTGAGCCCAGGATTCACTGTGGGAAAAATACACTCTAAAAATTACAAATGGGTTAAAAAGGGTATTATATTCTATCCTGTATGCACCTGGTCTTTACCTGGACTCATATTGTTTTCTCTCTTACCCAGTTTGACCTTTTATAGCTTCATGAGCTGTCTACATTTAAGTTCTTCTTAAATTGAACAATATGAGATAAAAATGAGAAGCCTCTGGGTTCTCATGACATCTATCCTCCGACAGCCGCTGCAGATCAGGGCTTTAAAATTCACTTTAATGCCACTAAACTCGGAAGCTCCGTAAATCAGATGTTAAATACATCTCATTCGTCATCGCCGTAGTTATTCTTTATCCTTCTCTCTTTCTGCTAAAACGTGTGAGTGTGGCAGAGGTAAGTTAGGGACAGTGTTTTCAAGCTGTCATAACACGCCTCTTTACATGGACATCAGAGAGCCACCGCTCCCTGCACGCCTTCATGTGGTCCATCAATGTTTTGAATTATTGAGCGGTCAGATGAGCAATGTCCTCCTTCTCCTCCTCTTCCCCCTGCTGCTTCTGCTGCTGCTGCTGCTGCTGCTGGTCCAAATCAAATAAACTCCACCTCCCTGCCCGGCGACTGTCGGCCTGCTGACCGTGTGTGTGTGTGTGTGTGTGTGTGTGTGTGTGTGTGTGTGTGTGTGTGTGTGTGTGTGTGTGTGTGTGTGTGTGTGTGTGTGTGTGTGTGTGTGTGTGTGTGTGTGTGTGTGTGTGTGTGTGTGTGTGTGTGTGTGTGTGTGTGTGTGTGTGTGTGTGTGTGTGTGTGTGTGTGTGTGTGTGTGTGTGTGTGTGTGTGTGTGTGTGTGTGTGTGTGTGTGTGTGTGTGTGTGTGTGTGTGTGTGTGTGTGTAATAAAGTTAATGAGGAACTTTGTTGTCCATTAAAACTACAACCACCTCAGGAACCTGATCCTGATGTCTGCTGTCCTGTTGATTTCTGTAGACTTGGCCAAAAAAATGTCCTACATGTTCCAGAATCTATTGGATATGAAGTTATTTTATTCTAAATCAACATTTAAAAGAAATCCCCTTTCACTTAATATTGTGCTTTGAGTCCACAAAAGTAAAAACTGTGTTTTATAACATTTTAGAAGTTGGGGGTGCCAGTTGGCCTAGTCGGTAGCTGGCCCCCCCATGTTTGGGGGCTTGAGTCCTCCAAGCGGGCGGCCCAGGTTCAAGTCCAACCTCCCTTCCCACATGTCATCCTCCACTCTCTCTCTCCTTGATTTTATTAAAATAGGTCACAAAAGTTGACTTGTCTGTTTAAAGTAGCTCAGTGTACTTAACATTCTCAGTTTTAAAGGAAAAATCACTGTCACCCACGTAGACGGATGAGGAACAAGGAAGGAGGGGGCTCTACAAGGCACTGACTCTCACTCAACAGAGCTTGTTAGCTTGTTGTACAAAGGGGAGATAGTGGTGCATTAATACTGTCCTTGTCAGTGAATGAAATGCTGTGCTTTGACTTGTGTGAAGAACGGAAAATAAACTTTTTTTCGGCTCACCGCGAGCTGTTTATTGACGAGCCTCTGGGTGTTGTGATTTGAGTCAGCAGCTCGTTAATACAAAGCACCAAACATCCGACAGTCCACCTTCAGTACAAAGCATTAGGTGTTATTCTCTTTGCAAGGGCGGGGATACTGAAATTTACAGAGTAGAGAATTCAATATTTAACCGATGCAGTGTGGACAGTGAGCGTGCAAACATGTGCGATGCGATATATAACGCTTGCACGTTAAAACAGTTTCCTGCAGGCTACAGGACATGCAATGTTCAAACACCTGTTGTGATGCATGATGCAGTCACATCATTTTTTTTTCTGTATTTAAATGTTGAAGAACAGACACACCGAGTCACCACCTTCCTGTGCTGCAGAAAAGACCTGCATCTACACTAGAGACTAAACATCTTACTTCCAAACTCCACTTGCATTTTTTGGAGAGTCCTTGTCTCTCTTCGCTGTCCTCAGACTGACAAGAGTTTATTTATTTTTTCCCCTCCTTAAACTTCGGTTTGCGATGGAAACAGAGCGTGCCGGTGTGCAGGTTGGATTATTGTTGAATGACCTGAATATGCCAGACGTTGCTGCAGGCTGTATTTTGTTGTCTCAGACTCTCAGACTACAATAGCAGCTGATGCTCACAGCTCTTCCTGTGAGTTGAGGTGGGAGAGTTTGGCTGAATTTGGAGAGTTTTCATGAGTGAGAGAAAAACAGGGAAATAAAAACAGAAGTGAGATGAAACATTCAAATGATTCTCTGCAGGAAAATTAGATCAACACTGCAGCTAATAGTGACAGGAAACAGAACATAAACACTGAAATGTGATTTAGACACAAATCTACCCGGTTTGGGGTTTTATGAACATATGAAACATATTATTCCAGCGTTGGGAACCGTCGTAAAAGTTAAATGAAAAACATTATATAGCCTGCAATCTTATAGAACTTTCTCTGAGCGTGAAGACCGGGACGAAGCAGCAAACGGATGTAATAAAATGAGCTCAGGGATTTATTGGAAAACTGACGCATAGATGGATAAAACCAGCTGAACGGAGGCCACGAAGGATATAGTGATCATAAGAGAGGTAGAATGCAAGAGCTGGAGCAACAGAGAATATATAAAGATGTAAAAGAAAGTGACAGAAGAAGAAACCTGTATCACTACCAGCGCCAGTATTCTGTTCTGTGACTGTCAAGTTTAAATACACACTTTTTGTTGTAGATCACACACAAGGCAACACTGATGGCTTTACCTATTGGCCACAGTGGCTGGTAAATAAAAGTAGCGTTAAACTGTGATTTGTGACAGACAAAAGCTCGGGTGATTCCCCTCCCTCTTTCTGCATGTTTCACTCTGACACTCACAGCAGAGCCAGCGGTCTCACACGCTCACTGAGCACAGGGCTCCGCCTCCTCCTTGTGTCAGAGGGGGTGTCACAGCAATCGGTCAAACTTGTATTCTCCCCTCTCCCAAGTTTTCAGTATTTAACAGTAACATTTATTGAATGTGCTCGCCTGCAGCGTGTCGTTTTATTCGGTCAGTCTTAGGCTTTGAGACAGGCTGTGTGCCGCAACAGCTCGACTCTGTGGCACTTATTTGCGTCTCCATTGCAATTGCTCCACCTGCTTAACGTGCGCATGAACTGATTTCTGGCTTGTCTTAAGTCCAAGGTGATCAAAGGAAGCAGAACAAAACCTAAAACCACACAGATTCAGTTACGCTACATTGTACTGAGAGGCTTGTTTGAGGAGAAGTCGTAGTGAGTGAGTGGGGTCGTGAGTTACTACGCGTTTATATGAGAGATCCATTTTAAAACTCTAATACAATATACTAAACCGATATAAACCATTACCGCCGAGAGAAAAACAAAATTGGTGATATGAATCTGAGGTTGTATCGCCCACCTCTTATTACAGCCTGTTTCACAGCTTCGGGCAGCAGAAATCTACTGGAGAAATTACAAACACTGTGTCACTATTTATTATTTAAACTGATCAAAATGAGTTAAAATAGAAAGTACTAGACTTCCTTTTCAATTTTGAAGTACCTGCACGGAGAAACTTTACTTATATATTTCTTAGATTTCCATTGAGAGTGCTCCTCTGCTGCCCAGCTCTGGCTTAAAGAGCAGGAAGAACCCTGCAGGGCAGAAACCCTCAGGTGTGCTGGAGACAGGCGGAGAGGGAGAGATGATGGAGGAGATGATGGTGGAGGGAGGAGCTCTCTGTCAGAAGTAGGTCACATCTCTGCGTAGGAACAACAACAGCACAGCCTCAAATAACAAACCGATCCAGTGTTTTTATCTTTCATGTGAGCTCAGTCAGACTCCATCCTTACATGTCTCTCTCTCTCTCTCTCTCTCTCTCTCTCTCTCTCTCTCTCTCTCTTTCTCTAGTTCATGACGGATGTCTGTCCATCAGTCTCCCTCTCTCTCTTCCTCTTTGTTAAACACAAGTGTCCTTAGTGGATTCACTCAAACACAATCCCAACATCTGAGTGTGTGTGGAGTTATCAAAAGCTTCTGATGAATAAATGACGGTGGAAATCTCCTCTCCTTGTCTCCTCCATCCTTTCCTCCCTCCTCCCACCTCTCATCCAAATTCCCCCCCCCCCTCTCACCCTTCTTTTTTCCTCCTCTCCTCACCTTCTCTTTTCTCCTCTCCTTCTCCTCTTTTCATCTTCCAAAGATCACACAAGAGAATTCCCTCTGAAGTTTTAGTGAGGGGACACACACACACAGATAAATCATTCACACTCAAAGTTTAAAAGAATGAGAGTTTACACGGAGGAGAATCTCACCCTGTCTCTGTCAGTGCACACCGTAAATGAGCTGAGCGGATTTATTTGTTAAACAAAACAAAACAAAAGAATCGATTAAAAACAATAAATGTGTCTTTTGTCAGACACTTATTTTCAACTCCTGGTAGGAAAGCCCACATGTAGAAAGACGAGTCAGAATCCAAGAAGAACAGGTCGCATATCCAGACCTTAAGTTCCTTGCATGTATAAAACTCTTAAAAAAAAAACAAAAAAAAACTGTACTTCATTTCCCATAATGCAACTCAACTGTATCGCTGCTTGTTTAATGCCCAAATATTTTATTTTAAACACCTTTTAGACCATGTTTACCAAAGACCGATCCTGAATAGTAAAACATTTTTTATTTAAAAAAAGTTCTGCCTTCAGACGACGACTGTTGTGCACACTGATCCACAAAAAGGACTCAAAAGTGACCTTGACCTACAAAGAGAAAGGTTGACTGGGACTGAGCAACACATACAGAACAGGGGAGTCAGCTGTTGTTGTTGTTGTATTTTTTATTGACTGGGAGCATAATGGGTGTACGTGTTTAAAGTATCTGTTTTCAGCGTATTTCCTGTTTACGCTGTGATGAAACGCTGCTGTTTGGAAAAAGGTTGCACTCTGGAACCTGTTTTTTAAAACTTTCCGTTTTCAGACAGCAAAACACGGAACAGCCAAAGCACAACAAAGGTTACCGCTTTTGGATGATTTTTTTTTTTTTTGTCGTATAAACACGGTCTTAGTTTGTTGTGTAATTTCTGTTTTGGTTTTGTGCATGCCTATAGTCCAAGCAAACACAACCACGATGACATCACTGTGACATCATCACAGTTGTTCTATAAGACCATACCAAACTTTCTTCAACTGGATTAGGTAAACTAACCCTCTTTAAACTACAGACATCATAGTCTTCAGTCTTTTCGAAAAAGAAAGCTTAGGCCTCCAACTTTGCTGCATTAAATCGTGGTTTGAATAATCTGAGTAAGATGTTTGAAGTCGTTTTGATACTAAACGAGGGTCCTCATCTGACACACGGCACCAGTTAAATCCACACCAGTTAAACTGTGACCCTGGTGGGCTCTCCCCTCTTCCTCCCTGTTGATCATTTCCAGAACTTTCTGACCTCTGTTGTGCTCATTAGCGTGGCTCATTATGCCGGGTCCATTAGCCGAGAGGTTAGTGTGACTCAGTTTGATGGAGGACCCTGAACGCCTCGTCTCCTGCCCCGTTGAGCCTCAGGCTGAGAGAGTAAAAAACAACAACACAGAACTGGATGTTTGAATGACAAAATTGGAGCTTTATTTAACACACGTTTTCCATTTTGAAAAGATTTCTTTCTCATTCCTGTTTGTCCCCCCTTTTCCATCTCCTTTGATTCCTGTCTTTCCTCTCTTCCCTTTCCTCTCCTTTACTTTGAAATCCTTCATTGTTTCCTTACATCCTAGACTTTTGAATACATTTTCCCTCATTGTTCAATCTCTTCAACTGTTACCATTTTGCATCCTTTTGTGACCTCAATAAGACTGCTTGGTCGTAAAGAGAGACAGGAAATGTAGGGAGTGAAGATGGAATGGCGTGCACAGGATTGGGAGTTGAACCTGCGACCACTGCAGTGACATGTGTGTCCTCTGTACAGTGGTGTCTGCTCTACCCACAGAGCTACAGCTGCACCTCTAAAATATGTATTTTTACACTTCTTTTATCCTTCAAACCTTTAAAGACATTACACGCCTATTTTTGTAGTTTATTTTTTATTGGAACTTTAAGTTTGTCAAACTTTCATCCTGAACTTTTGCACTCTGATCTTTTTCCTCTTTGTTTACTCGTCTCTTCTCTTTTCTTGCATCCTTTACCACGTCACATTACTTTCATGTTTCCTTTTCTTACTGAAATGCTTTTAGTTTCTCTTCTTACCTTTTTTATTTCCTTATATTTTCTTCCATCCTTTGACCTTTTTCCACATTTTTCATTTGTATTATCCTTTTTCCCTCTAGTTTACTACCTTTGCATTTTACACCCTTGTGTCTTTTTTTTCTTTATTTTCTTTTGACCTCTTCCTCACATTTCCACATACTACTCATCTTCCCTTGTATTGTTTCCCTCTTTCTTTTTTTTAACTTCCTTTTCTGTCGCTCTTCCCTTCCGTTGTCCTCACAATTCTTCCTTCCTCACCTCTTTTGTTCACTCCTTTTCTGTTCCCTTTAGCTGACTCCACATCATTTTTTCCATCTTCCAAACTCTCTAGATTCTCCCGCTCTCCCTCCTCTGCTTTCCATCCATCCTGATTCCTCGTCACTGCTCCCTCATGTCCTTGTATCGGCGCTGCTCGGTGTAGAACCGCAGCATGTAAATCAGATCCATCACACTTTTATTGGTTCCATCTTAAATCCTAAATGAGTCGGAGACAGAAAGACGGACGGAGAAGATGAATGGGGTTTGCAGTGCTGTAACTTCCCAAGGTCGATGTTGTCGTTTTCCTCACATCAGAGGGGCTGCCAACTGTAACGAGGCCCGAGTCTGTTCGGGAGAAAGAGCCGAAAAATTAAACCAATAATCGTTTCCACTTCTTCACTTCTACTGCCAGAAAATACATCACTGCTTTCAATTTGTCTGATTTGATTTACAGGCTCAGTGTGTGGATTATTATTCTGGACTCTGGGGCCATCGTGGCCTGAAGCTAAAACAGAAAGTGAAAATACTGAGTGTGTTTGTGAGGTTACGGAGGTCCACTTTTACAGATTTCTAACGCCTACATGTGGATTTCACACTCAGCGTGGGTGTCTGGTATAGGAAAATAAATTATTCAAACATTACATTTGTTGATATTACAATCATTAAATCCATGATGGGAAAACTTCATGCAACTATCAACATTTTAGCCAATTCCACAACCAGACATCGTGTTTCCTGCAGCGCTTTATAGTAAAGGATGATACCTTAACAAGACGTGCCCTCTGCCTTCACTACTGTTGTAGAAAAACACCCCAATGAAATGTTTTTTTTTTTTCTCCAGGACTTATGCACTGCGGCGGGTCCGTGATGCCTTCAGGGCAAACAGGGAAATACAGGATCCAAAAACTGTCGAGAGACTGGTGTTGGAGGGACGACAGACCCTGGGAGTGATACAGAGACAGGTAACACACACACACACACACACACACACACACACACACACACACACACACACACACACACACACACACACACACACTGCCATATCTCTCCTCAGGTTAACCAGGTTGACCCGAATGCAGATGAACACCTGTTTACTGACTGACCAGCTGTTGTATTCTCTCTCTCTCACACACACACACACACACACACACACACACATATTCTTCCATTACTGTTGGCTAATCACCTCCCTTTTGGTCACTTTGTTCCCATAATGCATCAGCTGCCTCTCAGCCAATCCCAATGGGGGATCGATCGTAGGTCTCTCTGTCTGCTAATCAACTAAACACACACACACACACACACACACACACACACACACACACACACACACACACACACACACACACACACACACACACACACAGTGTTTATAGTTTTTACATTTTAGAGGAGTCGCAGTTAAAAGTTGAATAATTGAATCCACATTTGACTGACAAGAATTGCGTTTATACTTGTGCAGCATCTCTCTGAAATATCAATACATGTAAGCTCATGAAACAGAAAACCATAAGTGGGTCCAAAACAAAACTGATTGATGTGCAATGAACCTACTCGTCATAAAAAAGTCACTTCTGGCTACAAAATGCTAAACTCCAGAGTCCAGATGTTCAAAATGCTTCTGCTAAATCATGACAATCTTTAAAAAAGGGTTGATCAAGAGAAGAGAAAAAGCATTCTCTAATTAGGCCGGGCATCATCAGATACTGATTCTAGATTTGCAGTGTAATGTGGGATATTTACTCCCCTGTTATGCCTTGAGCACAAAGTGTGAGACACGGAGGCTGAATGATGAGGCAAAGTCGTCGCACCCCTGATCCACCATCAGAGGCGTGAAGAGGGGGGAAAGCGCTAGCCAGGGCAGAACAGCTGTGTGTGTGTGTGTGTGTGTGTGTGTATGTGAAGCTCCTGCTGTGTGTTTACTCTCTCAGCATATAGCAATGCTGTAACACAATGTGAATTCAATCAATGGGACACTAATATTACGCCGTTATGGATGCACTGTGTAAGTAAAATGGCGGAATGCTGGCAGAACTATGGCACTGTTGCAGAACAGCAACCTGTAAAGGGTTTATGAAGAAGCAGGACGAAAGTACGCCTGATTGGCTGAACTTTACCTCTTAGATTTGTTCCTAAACCTGACCCAACGGTGACCTTTTCCCAAAAGTTGTGGCATGTTTGCTTCTGCTTCACCTGTCGCCCATTTTCTCCAAACATCATATGTGTCATATTAGACTCGTACAATGGATTTATTCTGTTCTTTAGATATGAACACATGTTGAACGTTGACAACAAGCACTCCTCTCCTGCAGCCGTGAGGTGCTTGCAGCTGCAGTGAATCATGTCTAAGACCCACCACCTCCTTTTGTAATGCGGCTAACAGCAGACATGAGACACTTTTCTGACATCGTGAGCTGTGTTCAGATCAGCTGGGCAGGCCGGGGTTTACATCGTCTCATCGTTTGTTTGAATGAAGCGGAAACCTGTGTGTGTTTCCTCTCTGCGTCTCGCCTACTCTGACGCAGGGATTAAATGCATCAGAGGGGGAATGTGCACCTCGTTATGAACCTGCTGCAGCGCTACAGGCTTCTGGAAAAATCCATATCACACACATTCAAACATAAACACATAGCCGTATACTGGTAAGTGGAGGCTTTCGGTTCCTTCCCCTGTGTGCAGATCCATACAGTGTGTTACATGAGAGACAGAGAGGGGATACAAACGTTGGTGTGCCGTGAATACGATGAATGAAATGTCTCTGCATTACAGAGCTGGTAGGAAGAGGTGGCATATTCATTGCTTCTCTTTTATAACCAAACTCTCTGTTATTAAGATAACACCAAATTATACCAGAAGAGGTACAGATGAGAAGAATTCAAATATGCAAGAGACGGTTGCTATGAAACCAGACTGTGCTAAAGTTTTCTTACATTACAGACTAATTTAGAGGGTGTCGCCTGACAAAGGGTCACTTCCTGATGAGGGCAGGCCCTGAAAAAGTGAAAATGTTGTGAAGCCCTTGTTGCTGGTGTACTTGTGTACCTAAAAAGTTTATCCCTAATTACGTCTATGCGTCCCTGCATTACAAGTTGTGTGTGTGTGTGTGTGTGCGTTTAAGGGGATGTTTCTGTGTGTGTGTCTGTGTAAGTTAGTTAGGGAGATAATATGATGGATTGCAGCTGCAGAGCTGACTCTGTTTGTGGAGGAGAAACTAAACCAGCATGTTCCCCTTAATGAGAGAGAGTGTGAGACGGAGTTTAGGATAGAGGCTCGTGATGGGAAAATAAAGACTCAATAAAAGGAGAGAAGGAGAAGTGTAAATAAAATGGAATGAAAGAAGGAAAGAAAGAGGAGGAGGGAACTGAAAAGAGAGCTGATTGTAGAGTTTTTGTATGATAGATGTAACTGCTCTCTGTCAGTTTACAGAGTGTGTCCCACTTCAGCTGGATTTACACACACACACACACACACACACACACACACACACACACACACACACACACACACACACACACACACACACACACACACACACACACACACACACACACACACACACACACGAGATGATAAAGTGAAGCCATAACATTAACAAGTCATAGAAAGAGGAGTGTGTGCGCCTCTGAAGAGCCATATCTCAGTGATTACTGCTGCTTAATGTCACCGCAATGTCACACAGCCTTCGGCCATTTTGGCTCGATGGAGATTAAAAGCCACATCGGGCCGTGAGTCATACCTGCCAGGTTAGGGGAGGGGTGGGATGGGGACAGGGGTTTGGACAGAATCTTATTTACTCCGAAATCTGAGTCACAAAAGCTTTGTGATGAAACAGCTTGATAAATAGTAGGGATGTAACGATACCTTGCAGAACAATTAAAGACAGAGACAAATATGGACAATTTAAATCAATGTGACAAATGTATATTGCGACACTAACTACCAGAGGGCGCTATCTGATTTTGACTTCCCTTGTTTGACCCCAGTAGCTGAAGAAGAGAGATGTACAGACATGGTGGATGGAAGTGAAGATTTTTTGAAGAAGTTAACAAAAAGTTCAGAGTACATCTTGGCAAATATTACAATAGACTGATAAACGACGGAAATTACACAACTAACAAGCAGCCTGTATAACAGGGCCAGGAAAATTCAGTCTTTAAAAATCTTACTGTGTGTTGAGGCCAGAAACACAGACTGCACCTTTTCATTTAATGTGATTTTCCCTATTTCTTTATTTTTTATTTATTTATTAAAATGACAGTGCACATTAATCAACATTTGTGTTGCAACAGTGTGTTACACATGCACCTATGGAGTCACAGGTAAGATTCAAACCCAGGCTGCCTACTTGGAGGACTATAGCCTCTGTACACATGACCTAACCGCTAAGCCATCTGCGCCCCCAGTGTCACTTTTTATAAAGACAAGTATACATTGTTTAATTAAATGTAAAGTATCACTTTAATTTATAATAATTAAAAAGGATAGTTAGCGTTTTTTATTTTATTATCAGGATTTAAAAAGAATCACATCTCTTTATAATTTGAGTTCAATCTTATGTCTTTAGAAAAGTTAGAAAATCTTTAAAAAACAAACCATGCTCAAATCATATGAACCTCATTTCATGATTCATGTCAAATAAAGAGTTGAGTGTATCATTACATCCCTAAAATGTTGAATTATCCTGTCTGCTTAAGAGGCCAGGTGTGCTTTTTTTTCCCCCACTGGTTGGTGAGATAGACTTTTATTTAACATGGACATCACACCAGGGCAAAGGCAACATGATCAGACAATAAAACAAGTTGTGAGCTAAAGTTAGAATGAATAGTTCTGTCTGGAAAGATTAAGTGTGCTAAAAAAAAAGAAGGAAATTCTTCTTGTGCTGACAAAAAGTCAAAACATAAACAAAGTCATATATAGCAATCAACATCATATCAGCTCGATTCTGGCCATAACCCAGTATCATCTCTATAGATGGATATTTGCTCTGCTATTGAACTCATTCCCTCAATCATTTGTACCATTAACCACAACAGTGACAGTTTTACTCTGTCCTCTCAGGGTATTGCAGCTTGTTGCTTTGCAGTGAAACTCATTTTTTATCTTTGTAGAGAGGAGTTTTAATGATTTGTTGTTTTTTGTTCTCGGTGAAAAATGTCTCCTGCCGTCAGATGAACACATAATCACTGATTATCCCTGCGGCTGAGCTTTACTGCAGTAAAATCACTCTCTGTCTGCTTTAAGGGATATTCATATATCTTGTATTCCATTTGGTACTGTTTTAATACTAAGGGGTGTTAAAGGAAGAATGTGTGATATTTTCCACCTAAAATATATCAGAAATCAACTATATCCTCTGTAAATGTCTCTCTTCCACCAGCTGTACTATTGTCGGACCGTGTTTACATCGTGGTTATATGAGGTGTTCCGCAGGAGGAGAGCTGAGGCTTCATAATAGTGGAGGTGTCGCCAATTTGTTTTGGTTTAGTGCTGGTGCTCAAGGGTGACACCTACTGGATCAAAAAGTCACACATTCTTCCTTTAAATGACAAAATGTTACTAAATGTTTTGGATTTTTCCAGTAGATAACTTCATCCTGCAGCAGTGAAACAGGCTATAATGCTTGCAACATAATGCTTGATGGAATGTTGATTTTTTTTTTTTTTTTTGTCACTGACAGACTCAGATTGCTATTCTTAAGCCTGGCTCACTCTACAGGATAATCAGACCAATTTGAGGTCAGATTCCCCCCTTCCCTTCTATATTGTGGGGCTGTGCCTGACCTTAGGCTGCTCAGAACGATTATCTGCCCAGATCACTTAGTGTGAGTGGTATTTATACCCAATCTTAACCTCCCAGATCTGCTCAATTGGGGCTGCCCTAATGTATATGAAACATGTTTTATATTTAGGATTTTAAAATCTTATACAACAAATGAACATCATGTTTACGGTCACAAGAA